TACGACTTGAGACGTGACGCGCCAAATAAGTCATCTGTATCTACGTGCTATAGCGGCTACGAACCACGCCACGATCTGCTACGACCTTCGATCAACAATTCTATAGATAACGGGTTGCATACAAAATCAAAGCTAAAAACTGTCCGCAGCTGTTTCTAAAGGAACGAACTGATTCATCTGTATTTACGAGTTATAAGAACGAGTTTTCGTTGTATTGAATATGTCGACTAAGTGTAATGGTTGTGGGAAGTCTATTCTTGATTTGCAGTTTATGGAATGTGGAAAATGCAAGGAGTTGTACCATGCTCTGTGCCTTGGGATGGCGACAGATGTATTCAATCAACTCAATCAGGAGTATAAAGATCAGTGGATGTGTCCTACGTGTGTCAGCTCGAAGCCAAAGGCCGGTAACATTCACACACCGGTACGCAGTCCGGCAACTTTTTTGAATTCTACATATACTTCTAACTCGGAAGATAGCAACCGATCGTCGAATTTTGAGAATGTAACTATTCGTTGTGGTTCGCGTAAGGATCTTGCTCTTGAAAAAGAGTTGCTGGGTATAGGCGCGGCTGGCATTCAGCATCTACATGAAACACCATGTGACTGTGCAGCGATTAAGGAGAATCAGATTAGAGCATTAGAAAACAGTCTCAGAAATTTGATCATTGAACAGTTTACAGTATTGAAAGATGATATTCAAAAAATAATGACAAACGAAGTAGCGGTTATAAACAAAAAAATATCTGAAATAGAGATGAAAATAAATGCCTCTCAAAAACCGCCATACGCCTCTGTGATAATAGAAAGTGAAGCACCTCAGTTGAGTTTACTGAGCCCACATAGCCAAAGTAATCCGGTAAATTGCAGTAAGGGAGTTGAGATTCAGCAGCAGTTTGTCTTAGAGCAACAAGTTGGACCTATGCAATATGTTTCTAATTCGAAAAACCTTAAGATGAAGAAGATAAAGCCTGCAGTATCAACATCTATTAGTGAATCGCCAATAACACGAAATATCGAAATACCGTAAAAAGTAAAACAGCGCAATCCACAAACTTCTGAAATAAATAGTAACATCGAAATGACGGGTAATAACGACAGTAAATCTGAAGAGTGGACTGAAGTAAAAAAAAAAAAGGTTATCTTTATCCGGAATACGAAGGGGCACCGCATTACCTGGTGCAACGCTATTAGAAGCTTCGGAAAAATATAAATATGTGCATCTATACTATGTGAAGTTGGGTACATCAGCAGAGCAAGTTTGTGAACATCTTAGGGTGGTATGCGGATCTAATTGTTGCACTGTTGAGGCATTGAAGTCTCGCGGAAATTACAGTTCTTTCAAGATTGGAGTCCCGGTTAAACACTATGAAATAGTTCTTACTACCGAAAACTGGGCAGAAAACATATGTGTAAAGCCGTGGAGGCAGAATTTTCGTTCCAAAGCGGAAATTAAAAAACCCCAACAAGAATGCCACTAGGATTGAGATAACATATCAAAATGTGCGAGGTTTGCGGTCTAAAACTGAGGAATTATACAGAAGCATTCTCCTTAGTACATCTGATGTTGTAGCATTGACAGAAACATTTCTTACTAGTTCAGTATATGATGCCGAACTTTTCCCAGCAGGATATACGGTAATCAGAAAGAACCGCAAAGGTGACACGGGATGGGGTGGAGTATTATTAGCAGTACGGAATAAGTTTGTTGTAAGCGAAGTCACTGACGTGGATGGATTAATGGATGACATGGAAATCGTATTTGCAATAATAAGGTACAAAAACATTAAATTATTGTGTTGTGTAGTTTATCTCCCACCAAACTATAAAGATGAAAAATATCTTAATGTATTAACTTGTATAGAGAATGCAGTTTGTAAATATTCAGATCTAGATATTGTAGTAATGGGCGATTTTAATTTAAAATCTTGTAGCAAGTATGTGAAGAATAGTTTTGATAATTTCCTAGAATTTTGTAGATTTCAGCAGTGTAATAATGTAGTTAATGCTTATGGCAGCCTTCTGGATCTGGTATTAAGTAACTTGGATTCGAAAGCTGTTGAAGTTACTGGGGAGGTAGAACCTCTCGTACCTCCAGACGCATACCATCCCCCTTTGTTAGTAAAAATGTGTCTGAGGGGATTGTCCTCGAATTCGGTGCCTCAAACATCGATATCATCCAATGCGGGTTGGAATTTTAAAAATGGCAATCTATGTACTCTTTATGAAAGCATTGCTAAAATAGATTGGTCTTGGCTCTATGACAGTGAGGATGTTGATGAAGTGGTTAATCTTTTTTATAATAATATTTATGAATGTATCAGCCACCACGTCCCGCTCAAGAAAATTAATATAGGGTTTACAATAAAATATAACTATCCTAACTGGTACACAAAAGAAATTATTGAACAAATTAAGCTAAAATACTTTCATTTTAAGCGATACAAATTAGAAAAAAAAGAATTTAATTTTGAAATGTATAAATATTATAGAAGTAAAGTAAAATATTTGATTAGTGAAGCGTATAAGTCATATATAAAAAAGACTGAACAATTAATTTTTAGTGACGCTAGTAAATTCTGGAACTATGCTAAAAGTAAACGCGCGAACCGAGGTAAAAACGTAGAGTATACATTTGGGGACAGAGTCGTAATGGGCCAAGAAGCTGTAGACGCATTTGCTGAATATTTTGCATCGGTATTCTTAGATAATCAGCCAAAACTTGACCCTCGAAGAGCACAACAAAAATATTGTACATCGCAAAACTTGAATACTTCTGAGAGGGTAACTATTGAACATATTGACTACAAAGATTTGCACACAGCTGCTAAAAAGTTGAAAGGCCGCAGTGCGGCAGGACCTGATTTTATACCCCCTTTTTTAGTTAAAGACTGTATAAAAGTCCTTTCTGAACCTTTAGTTTATATTTACAACCTTGTTTTAAAAAAATCGATTTATCCTACAGAGTGGAAAATATCTAGGGTTACTCCAGTTCCTAAGACGTCAGGTTCTGAGATAAAACAGTTTAGGCCTATAGCAATCCTGTCTGTGTTCGGCAAACTTTTGGAGTCAATCTTAGAAATAAATATTAGAAGGCAGATTAATATGAATATTAATGATTCTCAACATGGCTTTCGTTCAGGCCGGTCAACTACTACGAACCACATGAATTTTGTTGATTATATCTATCGTACGATGGATGATAAGAGGCAGGTTCATGTGGCGTATTTTGACTTTCAAAAAGCCTTCGATTTAGTGGATAACGATGTGCTGTTGGAAAAGTTTGCCTCGATGGGATTCACTCCAAAACTTCTGCATCTATTTGCTAGTTATCTCAGAGATAGAAAGCAGTATGTAGAGATTGATGGATACCGATCAGAATATTATTTTACGCGCTCAGGCGTGAGCCAAGGTAGTAATCTGGGACCTACTCAATTTCTGATTATGATAAATGACCTACCCGAAGTAGTTGCTTCAGCTAGGTGTCTTATGTTTGCTGATGATCTAAAGCTTTATTTGGGTGTCAGTAATCATATGGATGCTGAACTGCTGCAGCACGATATCGATGCAGTAGCCAAATGGACTGTTGAGAACCGTCTACAATTTAATGAGCAAAAGTGTAGTATTATGATTTTCAGCAGATCCAGTAAGTTGATTGACTTTAGATACACGCTCAATGCTAATTTTCTACAGACTGTGAGTGAGATTCGGGACTTAGGGCTTAAACTAGATTCGCGGCTAGACTTCCGGAAACACATTGAGGAAATATGCAAAAATGCGAATAAAATTCTGGGATTTGTAATGAGATTAAGCTCACAATTCAGCGACGTAAGAATACCTCTAATTTTGTATAATGCATACGTCAGAAGCAAACTGGAATACAACGCGATTGTTTGGGACCCGTATGAACATAAATACAATTATATGATTGAGAAGATACAACGCAAATTTCTCAGGTATATTTATAAGTGGTTGTATGGTTATTATCCGTTTATGTACCCATCTATGTTTGTATCTGGTATGGTGGGGCAGGATACTCTCGCCTCGCGTCGGAAAATCTCTTTGGCTTTGCATTGCCATGCGATCATCCATAATAAGGTTGACAATCCAGTGGTTCTTGCAAATATGAAACTGGTCGTTCCGAAAAGACACATGAGCGGAGCGTTGGGCAACGACGTAGGGGCGCCACGCAGACGAACAAAAGTTTTTGCGGAGCTTAAGGGAGTCCGTACGCGACGAGCTCAAAATGCACCGACTTCGAGAGCAATCTCTTTACTTAACGCTTTACATGATCGAATTCCGGAGGCTGACATATTATCCCAAAAATTATGTGTGTTTTGTTATTATTTAATGTTATATTTAAGTTGTATGTATAGTGTTTAGCTGTTAGATTTGTTTTTTTTTTTTTTAACCAGTGTACGTTTTGGTCTGGCACTGTAAGTATACTGTGTAATAAATAAATAAATAAATAAATAAATAAATAAATAAATAGAAGGCCTCAGTAAAATAACACTAACTTTTGGAGATGCTGTGTTTCCGTGAATAACTAAGGTTCCAGGGCTCCACAGGGTAGAGGATTGGGATATTTTTGTACATCAAGCGTTTTTTTCTTTCTAAATGGCTTCGCACGGCTGGTACATTTAGCCAATGTCAAATGTTAAAATGTTTACAAATACTATAGCACTCGTGGTCAAAGTAATAAATCAAGTCAAAGGTCGAAAGAAACTTTCCACTATATTGTTTCACTTGCCAACACTTGTGCATATTCCCGAACACTTAGTGGTTAATAATCCACCATTATTAGACACTAACATCCGCCACAACACAATTTTAACAAGAAAAACAAAACTGCTAAAGTGACGCTTCCCGATCCCGCCAAAAAGTCCTACATCTAGCGTTTGTAGGCTTTGGTGGCTGCTTCCCATATGCTTGTTTGCCACCCTGTTATCATAAAAAAAATAGTTTAACTTTAACGAATATTATTATTTATGGTTTCCAAGGACGGTGGCAACAGTAGTAACGAAGGCAAGACAGACTCTGAGCCTGGCTCCCCGCTCAGCATCCACGCACCAACCTTCTCCAGACAAGCAAGCAGCATAGAAAGGAGATCCATTAGTTCACCACATGTAAGTTCTTTTCCAATGTTTATAAAATGATAATATTTATAGGACTACTGTAGTTGAGAAGCTCGATAGCATTTGGCTGCGATCATTGAAGTTAAGCAACTTTCGCAGTGATTTCGGGTGACCAAAAATTAACTATTTCGAGCTACTCCGTGCTTTAGAAGACACGTTAACCGTTGGTCCCGACTGCATCAACAGTCGTTAGAACCCACCAATCCATACTGAGCCCTCGTGGTGGGTCATGGCCTAATCTCCCTATTAATAAGGAAGGCCTGTGCCCCAGAGGAGGCAACATTAATAGGCCGACGATGATGGTAGAAGTCGGTCCCAATAGCAGTGCCGCGCCACCTACCGAGTTCAGTTATAAAATATAAACTATTCAAGGACCCACTCGCGTTTACATAAAATAATTAATCAAAATCATTTCAGTCGCATCTATGGTTACACCATATACATAAACGGATCGAAGTATCCAGTCGCAAGTTCAAAATTTTAAGTTAATTTTCTCTTTCCTAATATCCTAGTACAAAAACTTACTTTTAATTAATCACTGTCATGTTCATTATGTTCATATTTTAAGCATTGAAAAAATCCTCGTCAAAGTGTCAGTCTGTATTAAGATCACGTTAATCAAGATGAACGTCGACTAGGTTAATAGTTGTTTGCCAAGGTCATAAAAAAAGCATCTTATTTAACGCGTCATCGTATTTTATTCTGGTAGAAATCATGGAAACACTATTTAATAAAGTATTTAATAAAATAAAACAACCTCCCCTGACAGTTGATAATCATGAATCATTTCTAAAACATAATAATATTGCTTAGCATATTATGCACCATACAAATCTATAATACTTGAAGATCATTTTAACGGAAATAAAATATTTATTCGACCATTTTTCATAGTCTCCTCAGTTCTATCATCGTGATATTGGGTCTTATGGTTCACAATCGCAAAGCACAATATCTACGATCTAGGTTTTATGAACAATTACTCGTAGCGTTACGACGCTTAAGTGTGCTACGACGTGAAAACACTACGCTCGCTGAATCATTAAAACCGTAACGACTGTAGGTGTTGTTAGTGTTGATTGCAGAATCTTCAATCTACAGGTTAGTGTGCATCTGTAAGAATTTTTAATAGTAGATTGTTAGGGAACAAAGAACTATTTAGAATTCGAGGGCGTTAAAAAAGTGTTGCTCCCGAGGTGAACACTACTTTTAATTGCCCTTTATGAGAAAATAAGTAAACGCAACTATTCACATGTAAAAAAAGTATATTGATTTATTTACATAAATCTTGGAAATAAGCCAAATAAATCTTCTTGCATTTTTCCAAAGAATAAAATTTTCGTAATATATGCTTTTATGATGTAGGTATATCCTTTACGAGTTATCTATATAATATTTTTAGCAATTGATACAATGTTCTCGGGAGTTAATACTTTTATTCTCACTACTTGAGGTACACACTATCTAGGTACTATTATAAAAAGAGAGAGAAGGATACACTGACAGAATGACTGACTGACTCATCAACGCACAGCCGAAACGGCAAGATCTAGAATGATGAAATTTGGACAGTAGGTTCCTATTATTGCCTAGAAAAGTAATAAGATAATATTTTTTGATATTCCGCCTCTTAAGCGTGTTATTTGCAAAAAACTTTTGTTCGTAAAATCTTATCCCTTGGACCTATTGACTGCATATGAAATTCACAACAGACAGCAGTTAGACAGAAGACGAATAGACTGTCTGTATGTATTGGCGTGACTACGAGGCTTCCAAAAGGCAATGGAAAAGAATTACATAAGAAACTCAGTCCGGCTACTTTGAAAATCTGTTTTAATTTATACATGTTCTTTTTTCGGATGCTGATTAATTATGTTTCCATAGTATTTTAATACACTCGTGTGTAGCCGGGACGGGCAAATAAAATTTGAATTTCAGTAAACAATAATATAATTACCAAAAGTGGTATGTATTTCGCGCGTCTTTTATTTTTTAAAAATCTTTTTTTTCTCGGTCGCGGTGAGTTGGCTTTGACTTGTCCATAAAATGTTCGTGATTGATCTCTTTGGTTATTGAAACTTTTATTAACAACATCCACATTCTTAATTCAAAATCACTTTCCTCTTAGGATTTAAAGCTATTTTAGTAGTTAGCCTGTGTAACGTAAAACAAAAGAGTTTTTTTTTAATTGGACATAGATTTTTTTTTCATATCTCTATGAAAGTTGTTTTTTTATAAAGAAATATCAATTAGTTACCAAATTTTCTTTAATGATACTGTACTACTAGCAAATTCAATACCGAAAGAAAACGAAGCTCTAGTTAGTTCGTTTAGTTAGTTATGTGTGTTGTTTATTTTAAAACTTAGTTCTAATGAACGGAACGTAACTTGGGTGTACAGCTCGGTTAACTTCTTGAGCATCGACCATACGTACAAACAAGCCTGCGCCAATTTTACGTACAAAAACCACTACCGTTCAAGTATATTTGTCTGTCTGTGGTTTTGTTCAAGAAGTTTGCCGCTACCCACTCGATCTGAAAGCTAAATACAGGTATAATCATAATGTAACCTAGTTCAGGCAAACTTGATTATTGCTCGCGCTACGCTCGAAAAACTAAATACAGGTATAATTATAATGTAACCTAGTTCAGGCAACCTTGATTATTGCACATAGTATACTAGTGGCCCGCCCTCGCTTCGCTTCGGTGTAGAGCTGTAGTGTAGACTAAAATGACTCTTCATTTTATATATATAAAAATGAAACCCGTTTTCCGTTGTCACGACATAACATGAAAACGGCTTGACCGATTTGGCTGATTTTTTTTTAGAATATTCCTTGATGTACGAGGATGGTTCTTACGAAGAGAAAAATTAAAAAAAAATCCTGAAAATGTCAAAAAACAAAACTTTTCTTTACTCCCATACAAACGATTCGTAATAATATTTAAAAGTCAATTTGAACTTTAATACCATACCATAAATTTCAAATGTTAGTGGAGAGATTCTGGGAAGGCAAAACAATTGAGCGACGTGATGTCAATAGAAGTTTGGAAAAGATAAATATACCATCTTCAGTTTTTTTATAATCTATCTATATATATAAAACTCAAAGGTGACTGACTGACGTAGTAATCTATCAACGCCCAGCCCAAACCACTGGACGGATCGGGCTGAAATTTGGCATGCAGGTAGATGTTATGACGTAGGCATCCGCTAAGAAAGGATTTTGATCAATTCTACCCCCAAGGGGATAAAATAGGGAATGAAAGTTTGTATGAAACTTTGTCAATTTTAAAACAGAACGGTCTGAGACTTTGCATGAAGGTATAAGAATAATCATAGATGAATGTCATTGTGTATAAAACAAGCCTGAGAACAAAAACTGTAGTCTACGCTTCAGCTCTACACCGAAGCGAAGCGAGGGCGGGCCGCTAGTATAAATATAAAAAAAAACTGAATATGGTAGGTTTGCCTTTTCCAAACTTCTATTGACATCACGTCACTCACTTGTTTTACCTCTCCACTAACATTTGAAAATTATGGTATGGTATTAAAGTTCAAATTGACTTTTAAGTATTACAAGAGGTCGCCCGCGACTTCGTTTGCGTTAACTTAGTTTCTTCAAAATCCCTCTGGAACCTAACATTTTTTCGGGATAAAAGTAGCCTATGTGTTAATCTAGGGTATCAGCTAACTACATACCAAATTTTATTAAAATCGCTCCAGCTGTTTAGACGTGAAGAAGTAACAAACATACACACTCACATACTCACACACTCACAAACTTTCGCCTTTATAATATTAGTGTGATTACTCGTTCGTCGAATCGTTTGTATAGGAGTATAGAAAAGTGTTGTTTTTGGAATTTTTCAGGCATTTTTTTTAATTTTTCTCTGCGTAAGAACCATCCTCGTACTTCAAGGAATATTCAAAAAAAAAATATCGAAAGCGGTTCAGCTGTTCTCGAGCGCTTAGCAACAGATTCAGCGATTCATTTTTATATTATAGATATTTAGTTTTATTTGAATGTAATGTGATCTTTTTTTCTTGAATAAATTATTATTATTATATTTATTTCACCAAAGTCGAGAAGTGTTCATTTTATATTCTCCCTATTTCTGTCTATTCAAAACATAAACTTCTTCTGTATAAGCTCGTCCCATCGTAAAACACGATTCTCACGAGTTCATTGTTGTTTTAAACTAGATTTTGGCCGGAAGCTAATCCGTCGACCTCCGTGGCCGTGTGGTTTGTACGCTGGGTTTCAAGGTGTCACCTACTCAAGGAACCCTGTTTTGGATGCCAGTAGGGGCAGATGTTTGTTTGATGAATACGAGGACTTGTACTCCAGTCATGGATGTTTTAATATGTATATCTATATAAATATACCTATATATGTATCAGTATATGTATTCTATCCATTACCCTAGTATCCTATAACACAAACCTACAGTGCTTACTTTGGGGCTAGGCCAATTGGTGTGAGTGTTAGAAATATTTATTTATTGAATTTGTTGAGTAGCGCAGTAAAATTACCCCACTCCACCTAATGATAAGTGTAAGTGGACTCCGGTCGCGAAGATAGACGATGCGGCCATCCTAACCTAACCCAACCCCCTACCTCGCGGAGCTCTAGAACCCTACTCACCCGCAGAAACACAACACCACTAAAAGGTAGTGTCATTTCACTATGGTCTTCTGTAAGGTGGAGCTTTCTTCCCCAGACATGCGCTCCCATTCGAGCGGGAAATCCGCTGTAGCCTACCTCTCTTAGGACACGGCACGATAAAATCTATACGATACATCAAAGGTTTTAAGAGTTTAAAAGAGGCCATGAAATCAGGCCAACAATAAAAAAAAATTGATTGCATTCTCTTTTTTTCTGGTTATGTATTTTTGGTGTTCTGTCATAGAAAAGTTAAAATGCATTATATTGTACTATGATGATTATAAATATAATACTGTATCTACGAGAACTCTGCCGACAAACT